CCCGAGTTCAATCCAAGTAACCAAAGCAGTAAATAAATTGTTTATTTTTTAAAAATGGGCTGGGCATGTGACTCAATGGCTATGCAACCCTGGGTTCAATCCCTGGTGACAAAAGAAAGAAAGTGAACAGTCAATTAATTATTCAGACCATTAAGGCACAGATAATCTCAAATTGAGAAAGTTCTCCTGTTTTTTTTAATTTAAATTTATTTATTTATTTATTTTTAAAATATTTATTGTTTTTAGTTTTTGGCGGACACAGCATCTTTATTTTTTTTATTTGTATGTGGTGCTGAGGATCGAACTCAGGGCTGCTCGCATGCCAGGTGAGCGCGCTACGGCTTGAGCCACATCCCCAGCATGTTTTTTTTTTTTTTTTAAATATATTTTTAGTTGTATGTGGACACAATACCTTTATTTATCTTTATGTGGTGCTGAGGATCAGACCCAGTGCCTCACCCGTGCTAGGCAGTGCTCTACCACTCAGCCACAACCCCAGGAAAGTTCTCCTGTTGATAGACAGGGTTGATACTTGCCGAGGGACAGAAGACCTCGGGAGATAGAATAATTCTATTCCTTGTTTTCTAGATGTAAGAAACTGAGGTTCAGTGAGTTGAAGGCTTGACTTGCCCAAGACCATATGTTGAGGCAGAAGCATGGCCTTGTGGAAGGTGGAGGTGAAGGATCTAATCTGAATATCCCAGTTTAATCCTACTTCCCCATGGGAGATGAAAGTCCAGGCTTGACTCAGAACAAGGGCTTCTGGGAATTGGGGCGCAAACTTGATAGGATTCTAAAACCTGCTGTTGCCACCCTGGTTTCAAGGAGCTCCTCAGACTAGGAAGGGCAGGCCATCACACAGCAGGTGGCACCTTACCCTGTGAGATGGGGGGGGTATAAAGAGGTAGGAACAGGTTGGCAGAGACAAAGAACTTCCCAAATCATAATGTGATTTTAGAGAATAACATGTCACCGAACTAATAAGCTTAGGATATGCCATTAAATCACTTTTCAATAAAGTGTGGAAATACACAGCTGGGAAAAGAAGTTAACAGCTTAATGAGTCTTAGGTGGGATATTTTGGTTTATTGGAAAACAGCACCCTTGTGGCTGCCCTACTTTTCAGTGTGTGAACTCTTAGTATTAATAATTGGTCTTCAAGCCTAACATGATGGAACTATAGCAAAAGGCTTTTTGTTTCTTTTATGCCATCAAAAATGTAGCACAGGGTCAGTGCAAAGAGCCTGGAACAGACAGATGTGGGGTTCAAATCCTGGCTCTTTTAGTGGCTGTGCGACTTGGTTGAAATATTCAGCCTCTTAATCTTGGCCCTGGTCTCTCAAACAGAAGCACTGGTACCACCTTCATGGGTAGTGGGAGGATTATATAATATATAATCTTAGGGTCTGGCAGGTGGTAAGTGCTTCTCAAATGTTAGATCTCTGTTATAAAATTTAATCAGGCTCTTCCCTAATTGTGACCCTTTCCCTGAAGTCCAGATGAGTGATACTAGATGAGTGATAACTAGATGAGTGATAGTAGAGCTCCCACTTACATTCCCTTCCTGGGCACCGGCTCCTGAGCTTCCCAAATCCCTTGCTTTCCTATGTAGCCATATGTTGCAGTGACATTCTCTATTGTCTCTGTGTTTTCCAAAAAGAAGGACCACTGTGTCATGGTGGCCCAGTAGCATTTGAGAAGTGGGTTCTCTAATTGCTATGTATTTGGTGAATAGCCCTCTAGGGCCTTTTAAGTGTCCTGATGGGCAGGGCAGGCGGAGGGCACTGCAAGTGGCAGGCTGTGGGCATGCAGTTCAGCCTTTGGGCTGGTGCAGTCTTCTGCCTTCTTGGGACAGGAAGCTTCATTCTTTCATTCAACAGATTTTCAGCTCCTGGTGGTTGGTGCAGTTGATGAACCGTCGGGAGTTTTCTTTTGTTGAATAATGGGTGTTGCAGTTTAGGCACTCCAGGTACAGAGATGGTTCTCCGGGTAGGGGGCCTGTTATCTCTCTAGTATAGAAGGAGCTCATCTTGCCCTGGCAGATACTGGTTCCTGGAGAGGGAGGGGTCCATTGGCCTGGGAGGTGGAGGAGCAGGAGTGGGGCTTTAGGCAGTAGTGTTTTCCACTATTTTCCCATCATTTCAGAAGTTGTTTTTTTTTTTTTTTTTTTAATCAATGGTTGTCATCCCTCTCAACCATTAACTCTTTGTCAGCACTACTTGCTGACCCTTTTCCATTCTGGTCTGGATACCTGTAGCCATCTGGGGACTGGAATATGGATGAGCACCCTGCTTCATTCAGTTTTCTCTATTTAGTCCTTACAAAGGCCTTGCCAGTGTTTCTACAGGAGAAAACGCAGGTGGAGTGAAAAAGTGACTTATGGTGCTTCTTTTCCACCATGAGGATCCCCCAGGCCCTCAGCACCCTGCTTTGACCCAGTCTATCCTGGGGCTTCTGTACTTGTTTCTGGAATGAATGAGTCACCTAAAAGGTCCAGTGCAAGGGAATGCAGGTTACAACTTTCAGCATTGCCCCATGAGCTTTGGGGCTGAAATAAATTAGGTAGCATCAAACTTAATAGAAACCAGGCAAAGGGCCCAGAAGATAAAGTTTCTTCATGGCCTCAGCTCTTCCAGGCCCTCCTAGCTGTGTTGTATGGGGCTGGGGGCTTTGCTGAAAAGAGGCCTGGGGGGGGCCTGGAGTGGGTTCCCAGGGTGGGTGGGGTATGTGCCCTAGAGGGGTGGGGGAGGGCTGCCAGGATATCTTTTCTTTCATTGGCTGGGTGGCCCTGCCCTCCTCCCCCTCCCTCTCCTGGAACATTCCAGACATTCCAGACAAACTGCCTGCCATTGCTTTCAGGATATGGATTAACATCCCAGAAGAGATTTGATTTCACTACTACCACCCCTCCTGTTCCCCCTCCCTGCCCTGAAAAAAAAAAGTTTCTAAAACAGTTTGAAGAGGGAAGTGTTGACCTTTGGCCTTAGCTTATAGCAAGGGACAGTCTTGAAAGAGCTTACTTCAAATTAGGCTCCTGCAGTTGGGTTACATTAGGTCCTTATTGGCTTGAACACCCAGGCAGGCAGTCCTCAACTCCTTGCCCTTCATCCCGGAGTCTATACTGTTAAGAGAGGCATCATGGGTCTGGGATGTCCCTGTTATTTTGTTAAGCTAAATCAGTTCTCTCCATCCTAAAATGGTGTAGTCATTTTATTTATCCAGTTCTCTTGACAGCTTGAAAATAGTCTGTCCATCTGGTCATCCAAAGACTTACTGGAAATTGCTCACTTGGGCAGATGTGGGGCTTCCTCTTGGCCAATGGATTGAATCACAGGTTGGCCTGATAGAATCTGAGAATATGGAACCGCATTTGTTTCTGATCTTCACTGTTTTGTCTTGCTGTAATTAAGTCAAGTTCATGAACTAACCAAAGTAGAATGCCACAAAGAATCTCTTCTATTTCCACAAGTTATTTCATTTCAGAAAGGGATGTTCATTAGTATATTTTGTGGATAAAAATTTCCTATCAGAATTGCAGAGTTAGAAGGGATCTTAGAGAAGAGAGCCTTCTGTTTGCACTTTGTATCTGGGGAGACTGGTGAATGGTGTAAGCAGGACCAGGATAGCCAAAGTGGACACAATTTACAATTAGAATTTTAGCATCCCTTTCTCAGCTGAACAAGAGCTGGCCCCCATTGCACATCCTGCAGGATACCGGGGCTTGAGGCTGAGTCAACCAACATCCCAATGGAGTCAGTTTAGGGGCTTGAACTGGACTCTGGCTTTCTAGTCCAGCTTTCCTCCAAACTGCGACTATTTTGTTGGACCTTGTTCTTGAACTAAGACTTTATGATCGATGATATCCAAAGACCTAAATGACAATTGACTAACACATCAAGCCAATTTAAATGTCTCAAACTCAGAGATTAGGGTATTGATTTGAGTGGTGAGCAATTGCCCTGGGATTCAACCCTGAACCTGAAAGCTTTCCTCAGGGAAAATGGACATTTTAAAGAGGAATTTGAAAGATGTGATGGAGGGGGAACCATTGTTTAGGAGAGGGAACTGGGAGAAGGGGGAAGGTGGTACTAAGGCCTGGCAGCGCAGCCACCTTAGTATTCACAGATGCATCTATTGTTACAGCATAAGTGCTTACTTCAAACCTTTTGCTAAGCTCTTTACAAATATCTAACACCACCTACCACCTGTGAATAGGTATTATCCCTGCTTTACAGGGGAGGAAACTGGGCCTCAAAGAAGTTAAATAATCTTTTCAACATCAGTGCTAATAAGTGGTTTAAATCCATATCCTTGCCAAGGGCTTAACCTGGTTATTATCTGCTGTAATTTGTTTGCATATATTGTCTCCCCTAGAACCTGGTGAGCACCTCAGGCCAAGCATTTTGTGTTTGGTTCATTTCTGTGCCCCAAGCCTCTTGAATAAAATAGAGCATGAAGTAGGTACCATTTAGAGAGTTGTTAGATTAATTAAATTTGTCTTATTTAGCATGGCATTGTAGTAGCTGGTTGTGGTGACAAGAATGGAGTGAGAACACTAAGTAGTAACAAAACAGTTGTGACTTTTTAGGGAATTTTGTTACCTAACTGCTCCCAGCATTTGATTCTGCATCAGGGACACTTAACCAGTGAACACATCCTCAAACTTTTTATTTTTTATTTTGAGAACGGGACTTGCTAAGTTTGCTGATGGTCTCACTAAATTGCTGAGGTTAGACTTGAACCTGTGATCCTTCTGCCTCAGCCTCCTGAGCCCCTGGGAGTACAGGAATGCACCACTGTTCCCAGGCTGTCTGTGGTGTAATTTGGTCTAATTTGAGACAACCCCATCTCCAAAGCTGCATTACTGAAAAGTTACTGTAAGATTTCATTTTGGTGACCAGAAGGAGCGAGGTTAAAAACTAGGACAAAGATTAGAAACTACTACTAGTTCACAGGGTCTTTCCCAGAGCTTTCTCTGACTCATTTCTGTTTTATTTCAGGAGTCGAAAAATCCAGATACGAAATATTCCACCTCAGCTCCGATGGGAAGTAAGTGGTTGGAAAGCTGTTGGTGGAATGAGGTGGGGTCAGGTGGTGGCATGTCTGGGTTGGCTTGAATTGAAAGGAGGAGTCTCCTGGGTCTGGGGTTGGTTGGGTCTCCTTCATCTTGGATTCCAACCTTTGGGCTATTTCTAAGGCTAGAGACATTAAGAAGGTGGGAAGGGTGTTCTTTAAACTTGGTGATGGTAGGAGTTGATAGGGCCCCAGGTAGCTGGATGTGCTTCCCAAAAAAGCTTTCAAGGCAGAGCTTCAGTACAACTCTTCAAAGATACTCTCTGCCACCATCATTGTTAGTCTACAAGGCAGTAATACCCAGTCCTTGTCTGTGGCTCTGCCTGTGCCCTGGCGTTTTGGGGAGAGTGGGATCCTGACTTGGATTCTCACCCTTCTCTGTGTCTTCTCACCTTCTCCATGTTCCTAGGTACTGGATAGTCTGCTGGCTCAGTATGGAACAGTAGAGAACTGTGAGCAAGGTAAGATGGGTCAGGGTGAGAGGTGGGTGTCTGAGGAGTTGGGGACCTGCTCTGATTGCCATTCCGTGATAAAATAAGGACACCAGGAAGATCCAGATAGAATGGGATGTAGAGGGAGATTGGCTGGCATGGGGACTAGACACCAAGCCCCCTTTTAGCTCTACCGTTTATTCCTGGACCCAGGTTTTTTCTTCTGTCTCTTCTGTCTTCTATTTATCTAATCTATTTTCTGCTGGGGTTTTTTGGGATTGAACCCAAGGGCACTTTACTACCCAGCTATACCTCTTTTTAATTTTTGAGACTGGGTCTTGTTTAATTTTTATTTTGAGATTGGATCTTGCTGAGTTTCTGAGGCTGGTCTCAAACTTGTGATCATCTGCCTAGCCTCCTGAGTTTCTGGGGTTATAAAAGTGTACCACCTTGCCTGGCTTGCAGCCTTTTTATTTTAAAAGTTTTTTTTTAACTTTCACAGGTGGCCCATGCCTGTAATTCCAGCTTCTTGTTGGGAGGCTGAAGCAGGAGGATCACAAGTTTCAGGGCATTCTCTGCAGTTTAGTGAGGCTCTAAGCACCTTAGTGAGACCCTGTCTCAAAATGAAAAATAAAAAGGGCTGGGGATGAGGCTCAGTGGTAAAGTGTCCTTACCACAATGCCCAGTACCTCCCTACCCCTCACCCCCCACGTTTATTTTGTAGTTTTCTCCATTTTTGGGTTATGGCTGAAATTGTTAATTGGTCATTTCTCTTCAGAAGCTCTTATAGCTACATGTCTTTGGTCATTTTCATCTCATATATATCTGTTCAGGCATGTGCTTGGCTCCAAGTAGATTTTTAAAAAATATTTTTTAATATTTATTTTTTAGGTGTAGATGGACACAACACAATGCCTTTATATTTATGTGGTGCTGAGGATCGAACCCGGGTCCTGCTCGTGCTAGGCGAGCACTCTACCACTGAGCCACAATCCCAGCCCCTTAAAAATATTTTTCCCTTAGTTGTTGAAAGATCTTTATTTTATTTATTTATACTTGGTGCTGAGAATCGAACCCAGAGCCTCACACATGCAAGGCAAGTACACTACCACTGAGCCACAGTCCCAGCCTTCCAAGTAGATTTTTAAATGCCAAGTCACTGGGATTGCAGGCTTGTGCCACCGTATTCAGCATCTTGAGGTGTTTAGATAGAGAAATACTGGTTTTGGTCACTTTGAGATTTAAATATTGATTTCCGTATTCTTTGTGGAAAGGGGCAAGCTAAAAGTGATTATAACTGGTTATAATCACTTAGTTTATATTATAACTGTTGTTTGCCTCTCTGGAATGTATACTCCATGAACGCAGAGGTTCCTTTCTGTTTGTCAAGTCAGAATGTCACTCACCATTGAGTTGGGAAAGCATTGCTGAAGGCCAGAGGGGTTTAGAGGGATTTGCACTGATCTTTTGTGACCTTATCAGGGTCCAGAGGGCAGAGGCTTCATTTATCTAGTCAGTACCCCACACTGGGATGAGCTGGCCTTAGAAGAACCAAAGTTACAGGCACTGGTGTAAAAGACAGAAGGTTAAAAAAGCATGGGGGGAAAAGGAAAGCCAAAAGATTGACTTTGATGGGATTCATGGCCAGTGTTCTGAGGCTATGATGACCCGCTGTGTCTAGTTCACTGCTAAGATATTAGAATACTCCAGGCAGGAGATCTTCTCCTGGAAAAGATGCAGACAGATTTTCTTCTAAACCCTACAACATCCACTCCTGTTCATCCATGTAGCTGTATATTCATACCTCGAGTGTGTCCTTGGGGATTTGTAGGATTCTAGAATGGATTTGGGTGTTCCCCAACCATATCTTAAGAGACCTTGGGATGTTTACTTCTTTGAATTGCTAATCTCACTCTCTGCGTTGATTTTTAACTAGTTTAACTTTCCACGGGTAAATCTGTCTCCCAGATCCAGGTGTGAGTGTATGTTGGGGGTGGAGGTTTGCCATTCTATATAGCTACAGATGTGGGGGCCAGACCCTTTGTATTCCTGCTTTTCGGAGAGGAGGAATGCAAGAAAGTTAGTTTGAACTTTCCAGTATTTCTGGTGGAAGGGGCCTCAGGCAGAAACTTGACCATTTAGTGGAGTCTTTCATAACCTCCAGTAGCTAGCTGGATGTTTTCTTGACCTCAAAACCTGGTAAACTGGGCTGGGGGGGTTTATCTGTAGGGATTGCAGATATCACCTTGATAACCCTGTCCTGTTGTCTTTGCAGTGAACACTGAGAGTGAGACAGCAGTGGTGAACGTAACCTATTCCAACCGGGAGCAGACCAGGCAGTAAGTGCCCTGGCAGTGGGACTGGGGTGTCTTTGTGGGCCAGTGGTTATCTGATCCCTCTGACTAGACAGTTCAACAGGTCTGGGTAAAGTGTTCAGCTAGCTATGTGGGAAATCCCAGGCAGGCTAGGGTCTTCGTTGTGTTTCTCAATATTGACTTCAGATTACCTCCTCAGGGATCTCAAAGGTTCAGGCAGTCTTTAGGATTGATCACAAAAATACATAGAAGGAAGGAACCTAAAGCCCTCCAGGAAAGGTGGGCAGTCTGGGAGAAGCCCTTGGCTCTGATTAGGTTACTGGTTTCCAGGGAAATGTGGGATTCTTTGTGTTGGAGGCGTCACCAAGTGGTGAATAGGGGAAATGCTGGACTCAAAAGATTGTGACAGTGATATCCTACCTCACATTTGATTGTCCTGATGGTCAGGAGGCTGCCTCCTTAAAGCTTTTTTGTAGAATTTTTTCAGTCCCTTCACAACCACAATTTCTAACTCCTTAGCATGGTTGAGCAGTTACGCTTCTCTGTAACCATTGTTACAGATCTCATTTTTTTTTTAAACTGCTAACAAGCTGAGGTTTTGTGTGTCAGGATGGTGGTATCACATCTGGGTGTGGTGGCACACTTCTATATAATCCCAGCAACTTGGGAGGCTGAAGCAGGAGAATCGTGGGTTCAAAGTCAGCTTCAGCAACATAGCAAGGTTCTAAGCAACTCAGTAAGACCTGTGTCTTGGGTTACCTTTTACCAGAAAATCACAAATATTCTATACTGTTAATATACTTAAGAAAAGCATCTTCATCATAGATTGACATCAAAATGTGATTTCTTTTTTTTTTTTTTTTTTTACAGAAAGTGTGAGAGAGAGAGGGAGATTTTTTTTTTTTAAGAAAGAGAGAGAGAGAGAATTTTTTAATATTTATTTTTTAGTTCTCGGCAGACACAACATCTTTGTATGTGGTGCTGAGGATCGAACCCGGGCCGCATGCATGCCAGGCGAGTGCGCTACCGCTTGAGCCACATCCCCAGCCCCCAAAATGTGATTTCTACTACTGGGTTTTACACCAAATTTTCTTAACTACGGAAGGTGGCAGACTTGGTGTAAAAAAAAGCCTCTTATTTTATCATGTGCTTTCACATGTGATTCTCACATGCATCCTGTAAGACATATCATTTTGACTGAAATTGAAAAGCTGATATTAAATTGAGCAAGAGACCCAAAATAACCATGGCAGTCTTGAGCTTGAACTTACACATTTTAAAACTTACTTCAAAGCTGCAATAATCAAATCAATGAGTTATGTGCAGGAGAACAGACATAGATCAGTGGAATCTAGAAATAAACATTTAGGTTGAGAATCAACCAGTCACTTTTTTAAAAAAGAGATGCTATAAAAATTCAGTGGGAAAATAGTCTTTATAAAGAATGGTACCAGGGTAATTTGATATACATAGACAAAAAGACGAATTTGGACCATCGCTTGCACTTTATATACAAATTAACTCTGAATGCATCACAGTTATAAGATAGACAGGGCAGGCAACAACCTCCACTTTGCAGCTGATGAGACTTAGGTCTAGACTAGGTAGGGTGTGGACTAGGTTAGAAATTACCTAGTGCACAAACCAGTAGTGTCTTAACTCATTTGAGTATCTTCACTTATCATTGGGATAAGCCAGGACAGGATTAACACATTTTTAAGCCTTGGCTTCATCATCTATAATAACAAGGTTTTGTAGTAGTTAGTACTTGGTTTCTTCATCCTCTGGTAGGAGTCCCATCCAGAAACTGCGGGTGTCAGCTTTGTCAAGTCACTTCACATATGTGGTTCTTTTTTAGACCTATGACTTGGTTTTCCTCCTAAGACTGTATGTTCCCTTGTACTGGAAGCCACTTCTCTGATGATATAAATGGAAGGCCATCCCATCAAATGTCATTAGGCATCTCTATATTTATTCTTTTGATGTCTTCTACCATGTAAGCTGAAGGCTTTCTTAAACAGTAGATGGGGGTGGTAGGAGGTGGTTACCTCCCTTTCCTCGCTGTGTTCCATGTTGTAACTGGGTAGAATGCTATTGAACAAGGAAGGCTCCTAGTGTGATTGGCAATAGGTTGGAGTGACCAGTGGATTTCCCCTCTGTTCCCAGAGCCATCATGAAGCTGAACGGCCACCAATTGGAGAATCATGCCTTGAAGGTCTCCTACATTCCTGATGAGCAGATAGCTCAGGGTCCTGAGAATGGGCGCCGAGGAGGCTTTGGCTCCCGTGGTCAGCCCCGCCAGGGCTCTCCTGTGGCAACAGGGGCCCCAGCCAAGCAGCAGCAGGTGGACATCCCCCTTCGGCTCCTGGTGCCCACCCAATATGTGGGTGCCATCATCGGCAAGGAGGGTGCCACTATCCGTAACATCACAAAACAAACGCAGTCTAAGTGAGTCTGTTTGCTGGGGACAGAGGCTAGGTGCGGGAACTCCCTCTTTCCTTGGGAGACCTCCTGGAAGCACCCTGGGGCATCAACATTTTACTCTTAAAGTTGCTTGGGATACTTAGGGGTCACTTGCTTCCACTTCTGCCTCCTGGGTTGCGGTGGGCAGATGGCAGGGGACAAGGGATCTGGGGTATACCACTGGTGGTAGTGACTGGGCCCTGTACTCTTAGTAAGAAGGGGTTCTATATAGTTTCACAGAAAGTCTCAAACAAATGCCAGTGTAATGAGTCAGTAGCTCTTTGATGCTTATGCTTTCATGACCACTTGGTGGCCACAGGCTTAGTCAAACCTGGCTAAAGATAGAGCCATATGATATGGGCTATAATTATTCCCCATCTCACATACCCATAAATTACCACCTTTCTCTAGTTTTTATAGCTGATCGGTGTGCTCTGTGGGAAAGAAAAGGTCACATTATTCCCTTAATCATAATAAATCCTGTTTTTCCTTACTTTTTGTTGGTACAATGTATCTTATCATTGCTTCAAGGGGGACATACAGAATTCAAGGGGAAATGCAGCTTTACAAGCCTGGCCTGATAACCCTACCCTGGCATCAGTGTTGTAGATGACATACTTGTCCCTCGCCACCTGCTGAGAGAGTCAGAATAACAGCCTGACCATTTCCCTGGCCCTTCTCAGTTCTGTACCTGACTGGCCTTGTTGGAAGAAGAGCATGTTCTTTGCTTTTGGTGGATTGAGGTGGGGAAGCCTAAGGACCACTGTCACTGGGGAAAACTAACTGGCTTTGTCCTTGTGGTCCTCAGGATTGATGTGCATAGGAAGGAGAATGCAGGTGCAGCGGAAAAGGCCATCAGCGTCCACTCAACCCCCGAAGGCTGCTCCTCAGCCTGTAAGATGATTTTGGAGATCATGCATAAGGAGGCAAAGGACACCAAAACGTAAGGCTCCAGCTTTTCTTGCCTTCAGAGAATGCTAACTTACTCCTGCTCACACACACTTTCTTGTCCCCGTAACTTTCTTTTTGGTGGTACTATGGTTAGAACCCAAGGAGGCCTCCTCACACATGTCAGACAAGTGCTCTGTCACTGAGTCCAAATCTTCAGTTTCCAGCAACACTTTTTTTTTGTACTGTGTATTGAATTTAGGGGCACTCCACCACTGAGCCACATCCTCAGCCCTATTTTATATTTTATTTAGAGATAGGGTCTCTCTGAGTTGTTAAGAGCCTTGCTGAATTGCTGAGGCTGGCTTTGATCCTCCTGCCTCTCAGCCTCCTGCATTGCTGGGATTACAGGTGTGTGCCACCATGCCAGCCTCCAGCCCTGCTTTATAAATTTTATTTATCTATTTTTATGCGGTGCTGAGGATCGAACCCAGTGTCGTGCACATGCTAGGCAAGCACTCTACCGCTGAGCCAACTCTAGCACTTAATGATATTATCTATTTTTAAAGTATACAGTTTTGAGTTTTATTATTTATATGTATTATACCAATTAAAACCATCATCACAGTTAACATAAAGCCTTTGCCCCCAAGTTCCTTTGCGCTCTGTCCTCCTCTTCCAATTCTCTATTCCTAAGCAACCACTGACCTGCTGATTTTTATAACCTTCCAACACTTTTTGTCTTGTGGCTTGTCCTATAAGCCCCATATTGGGGATGGCATGATGACCACCACCAAAAGAACTCTTGTCCTCTGTTTCTTCCCCAGGGCTGATGAAGTCCCACTAAAGATCCTGGCCCATAATAACTTTGTGGGACGTCTCATTGGCAAGGAAGGGCGGAACCTGAAGAAGGTGGAGCAGGACACAGAGACGAAAATCACCATCTCCTCGTAAGGCAGCCCCCACTTTCCTGTTTATGGGGAGGCTTGCTGTCCCCATAAGAAGTTGTGGTGGGCAGCCTCCCTGGAAGAACAAGTTAAGGGGTGGATTACCTTTATGCAAGTACCAAGTCTCCTCATTCCTTCAGTTACTAGCCTGTGGGCAGTGTAACTGCTATCTTCTAAAAAACCATTGCCTCCAGCCATGTTGGAGACTTAATAGGTTGGGGCCAGGTTCTAGGCTTGGCTGGGGTTGGCTGGTGACTGGAACCTGCCCAGGATTGGCTCCACTCTGGCAGAAGGGTATCAGTGGAGCAATCTCATCTCTCTGTACCTCTGTCTCTGACCTGGCTACAAAATCAGGGCCCCAAAGGCTGGAAATGGAGAATTACTTGCCATAAGTCACACCGATTACAGAAGTGGGGGACCTGGGACTTGGATGGTCTCTGGGTCTCATCCCTTGCCAGGTCCTGGGCTGCTAGTGAAAGCCTGAGACCACCCTGTTTTTTCTCCAGGCTGCAGGACCTCACCCTCTACAACCCGGAGAGAACCATCACCGTGAAGGGGGCCATTGAGAACTGCTGCAGGGCTGAGCAGGAAATCATGAAGAAAGTTCGGGAGGCTTATGAGAATGACGTGGCCGCCATGAGCGTGAGTATTAGGTCTTGCTCCTTTGTGTTCCCTTTCCTGGCCATGGACAGGAAGGTGATAGTCACATGCACCCTGTGCTGTAAGGCCTTGGAGCATCACTTTTCTGTTTTTTGGACATGAACTCATCAGAAATGGCTTTTTTTTTCCCCCCTGCAATGCTGGGAATGAAATCCAGGCGAGGAAAGGCAGAACCTGAAGCAAGCACTCTACCACTGAGCAACATTTTCAGCCTCAGAAATAACTTCACCACATTTAATTAACAGGGACTTTTCATCTGTTTCCTCGATTTGTGTGGAGAATCCAGTCTTGAGTGTTATAGATTCCTATAGTTGAGATTCAGTCTTGGGCTGAGTGGCTGTGAACCTCCTATAAACTTTGTGGTTATGTGCACTTTAGTGGAGAGAGGGTTTTATATTTTTCATCTGATTTTCAAAAGGAGAGTGCAGGCAGGTGCAGTGGCCTATAGTCCCAGTGACTTGGGATGCTGAGTCAGGAGGATCACAAGTTCAAGAGCAGCCTCAGCAACTTAGGGATGCTCTACTTGTCAAAATTTTAAAAAGAGGCGGAGAATGTAGCTTTGTGGTTCATTGCCCCTGGGTTAAATCCCCAGTACAGAGAAAAAAGAAAATGTGGGTGGAAGTGGTATATGATGGAACCACTGAGTTCTAGAAGTCAGAGGGAGCTCTGTTGCCCTGCTGAACATTAGATTACTGCATTATGAGTCTGGTCTGTCTTCCACTAGAGTGGATGAACCCACCATAGAGGAAGGGCCACTGACATCCAGGGCTGGTTGGCTCTTCAGGTTGGAGGTGCTGGCTCTTAGTCCAGTGAGGACATGACCTCAATAACAATTCCACAGCTGTGTAGTGTGAGAATACAGGAAAACCACGAGGCCAGGCAGGTTTTTATGTAAAAGCATGTAGTTCTCAAGGTTTTGGCCCACTTCCTCTGGGGTTGTTTGACCTTTACCAGCCAGGGCCACAGGCAAGGGACCACTGGGCTCTCTCAGCTGACCTGCTCCCTACCTTCTTTCCCCAGCTGCAGTCTCACCTCATCCCTGGCCTTAACTTGGCTGCCGTCGGGCTTTTCCCAGCCTCGTCCAGTGCAGTCCCACCACCTCCCAGCAGTGTTACTGGTGCTGCTCCCTACAGCTCCTTTATGGTAAGTGGAAGGTCTTATCTCAGGGATCCCAGTCTTGTGGGTGGTCTACCTTAAGAGGCCCAACTCCCTGTGCTCAGGAGAAGGATGGGAGGTCTCTGAGATGGCCCTCCTCTGCATTGCTCCCAGCCTTGGGCTCTGACTCCAGAATGCTAACTGTGCCAAGCCCAGCAGAGCTTGCTACCCGGATGCTCAACACTTTTCCTCACTCTTACTCAGCCTCTTACCTTTGGGCCTGCTGGGCTTAGGATGAGCTAAAAGCTCATGCATGCATCAGCAACATAGGGGTACTGCTGGGTACCTGCACTTCCTCTTCCTTGAGGCTGCAAGGCAGAGGAATGGAGGAACCCCCTGGGTCCTTCCCTCAGGCCCTTGGTAAGAAGTCCTTGTCCTACAGCAGGCTCCAGAGCAGGAGATGGTGCAGGTGTTCATTCCTGCCCAGGCGGTGGGTGCCATCATCGGCAAGAAGGGACAGCACATCAAGCAACTTTCCAGATTTGCCAGTGCCTCCATCAAGGTGATTTGCTCTGTGTTCCTCCAGTTCCTGGGATGTTTGTTCCAGATTCCCATATGCTTTGGAGAAATCTGCATCTCTAGTTAGGGACCTGTGCTGCCAGCCCCCCTCCCCCCACTGCAATCTTCTTTGCATTTTTTTTTAGTTGTAGATGGACACAATAACTTTATTTTTTTATTTTTATTTTTTGTAGTTGTATCTGGACAGCATGTCTTTATTTTGTTTTATTTTTATGTGGTGCTGAGGATCGAACCCAGTGCCTCATGCATGCCAGGCGAGCGCTCTTCCACTGAGCCACAACCTCCCACAGTTTTCATTACTTGCTGTGTCCTTTGTGGCCTGCATTCAGTGCTTCTGGGTTTTCAGACTGGATAGGAGCAGGACTTCAGTGTGGAAGTAGCCCCACAGGGAGCCTCCCTTTTCTCATCAGTACACAAGGAAACCATACAGTTAGAACCCCCGGCTCACTCTGTGCTACAGTAACACTAAGTGAATTTTATTTGTCTTTTACCTTCCTTGGATCTGGAGTAGAGGGGAGAGAAGGAGAATGTGTCCTCATGAAGCAAAGGTGCTGTTAATTTCACAAGCCCAAATTCCAAGTGATGAGTGGTCTTTGAATCTTTGGGGAGAAGCTGTGATTGTTCCCCTGTGGAGGTGCAGTCACTGCCCTTCTGCCATTGGTCATCTCACCTTGTGTCTCTGCCTCAGCAGTTTACAGTGAAACTCCACTACAGGCTGAGTGGGGAGGGCCAGGAAAACTTAATGAGAAAATGTCACCGAGCAGGACCTTGTAACTGACCACCTGTGTCCTTGTCACAGTTTGGGTGCACCTGGGCAGTGACTTGGGCTTCAGGTTCTTCCCTTTCCCAGTTCTCAGCATGGACAGTGGAAGTGAGTGTGGTAGGGAAGGGATCGGGAGGATGTAGAGATGGTAGGAGTCTCCCTCTAGAAAGTCTCTCTTTGCTATTTGGTTTTTTAGATCGCTCCACCGGAAACACCTGACTCCAAAGTTCGAATGGTTATCATCACCGGACCCCCAGAGGCCCAATTCAAGGTTTGGATTTATATTGTTTTTCCAAACTGATTTACAGGGGGAATTGAGGTTGGGAACCTGATGTGTGCAGGAGAAAGCCTGGTGCAGCTTCTGATAGCTGTCATATTCTTGTCACATCTTTCACTCTTTCCAGCAGGATGCCTCTTTCAAAGTGGAATTGAACTTCTTTTTCATGTCGACTTCTACTTCCCCTCCAGTTCCTGCAGGTTCATACAGGAATTATAGAGAACGAAATCTGAGGTCTTGGCATTCGATGCCAATTCCCTAGTGTCCACCATATCTGTAGGTTGTTGAGCTTGTGATCAGAAGGCCAGATAGCTTAACCTGACCTACATGAGGATGGAGAACTGGGACAGCTTTCTAGGGCCAGGAAGGGCTGCCCTCTGCTTGACTTGATGATTTGCCATTAAAGGCCTTGATGTGCTAGTCTTGCCACATCCAAATAAATGCAGTCCTCCCAGGTCTTATAGGTCTGCTTTGGAGCTGGTGAGTTATAATCCTCCTAGACATTTATTCAGTTACTCACAATTCGTAATAATGCTCCAGGACCTGCAGTGTTGGAGCTAGGCGGAGGGGACCTTGACTGGTTTCCGAATGGGGCCTTTCACACCACCTGCCAAAAGAGCGGAAAAGGACGGACTGGAGTGGAATGTGGGGTTAAATTCGGTGTTTACCACTCTTCACTTTAGTCACAGATATATGACCTGCTGATTAACAATGACCTCCTCTCCCCAGGCTCAGGGGAGAATATATGGAAAACTCAAGGAAGAAAACTTCTTTGGTCCTAAGGAAGAAGTAAAGCTGGAGACACATATCCGGGTGCCAGCCTCGGCCGCTGGCCGTGTCATTGGCAAAGGCGGCAAAACGGTGAGCCCTTAGGGCCATGTTGAAGGCTTTGGGCTTTGGAGTCCAAATCCAACAGGGCCTCTCTGGCCTCCTATTCCCGTTTTGCTCAATTGCAGGATGCCCACTTGCCCTTCTGCTTGAAGTTCTATGCCTGACTCCCTGTTAGTACCTCTTATCTCTTTTTGAATATTTATTTTTTAGTTGTAGTTCTCAATACCTTTTTTTTATGTGGTGCTGAGGATCGAACCCAGGGTCTCTCACGCACTAGGCGAGCGCTCTGTGGCTGAGCCACAACCTCAGCCCATATCTCTTATCTCTTGCTCCAGTTCTATTTCCCCAAGTTCAATGCCTGACTCCCTGGTGGTAGTCTTGCTCCAGTCCCACCCATGCTTTTATGTGTGTATGGTGCTGGTGATGGAACCCAGGGTCTTGTGCATGCTAGGCAAGTCCTCTATCTCTGAACTACACCCCAGCTCCCCACTCATGCTTTCTTGATAGCATCCTGAGCTCTTTTCTGGCCACCCCCAGGTGAATGAGTTGCAGAATCTGACAGCTGCTGAGGTGGTAGTGCCGAGGGACCAGACGCCTGATGAAAATGATCAAGTTATTGTTAAGATCATCGGGCATTTCTATGCCAGCCAGGTACATCCGGTGCTCCCCGATCTCCGAAGGGCTGCAGGGGCCGGAACCAGAGAAATGATGGCCATGACCCCTTCCTCCCTGGTTCCTGATCTTCCACCCTCCCATCCTTTTCTTGGAGCTCCTCATCCCTGCTCTTCCCTGGTCTGGGGTTGACATCAGAGCCTAGAAACAAGGCCAATCTCAGCTTCAAACTTCAAACTGGGGCCTCAACAAGGCAAGGAAAGGGTGACTGACAGCGTAGTTCAAAAAATCTGAAATGCTCTGTGTGTTAGCCCTAAGAGTAAGGACTCTGAGACCACTGAACACAGTTCCAGCAGGTTGTCACAATCCAAGGCAAAACTGTCCCCTTACCTCTGAGCATAGTTGGTGCAGCACTGAAAACCGAGTTCAGGCCCCACATAGCCTCTCTGCTCTGTTACCTGGATTAGCAGCCTACTCTGTTATAATCCTGGGAGAAGTATTGGTAAGGACCACAGGAATAATAGCTAAAATTTGTGGGTACTTATGATACACACCCAGCATTGTATCATGGTTTTTGTATATTGACTGATTTAATCCCTTTAACAGTTTGATTTTACCAACAAGGAAATGAGGGTAGATCTAAGGATGTATACCACCAGGGTGTATTAAATATTATAGCAGTTTCAGTTGATCTGCTTGAGGCCAAGCCTGATGGAATCTGAACTCTGAATCTGAATTTACTAGTGAATTCCACATTTTTTTCTCTTAACCAAGAAACCAAGCACTCAATTTATGGAAAGGAAACATTCTGATACATTTGTAGACATGAATTCCATCTTGCAGTAGATTTCTCTTGCAAAACTTTATTCTAAAGGAGGAAACTTATAAGTAGGATACACTAAAGGTAGGGGAAATCCTTTGGTATTTCAATCCAGTCCAGTTCACAATGGAGTGTATTTATTTGACTTTTTTTTTTTTTTTTATTAAGCCACAGCTGGGCACTATGTCCGCTCCCTCTGGCATTATATGACTATTGGATTTGTGATGGTGTCTGCTAATTTATGACTCTGGACACCAGGAATGTACTTCTGGGTCGAAGCTCAAGTTGTTCCATTTCTAGGTTCAATATCATGACAAAGTGTTAACTTTGTCAAGTTCTAAATTCCGATTAATAGATTTCTGCTGTGTCTCTGCTCCCTTCTGTGCTCACCCTCTCTGTCCCCGCTTACTTTCTGTTTTGCCCAGAGGAGGTTCACTTGGAGGCAGAGAAACTTAAGGTTACCTAGATCCTCAGTCTTCTTATACATATTCTAATAAGTCCTGGAACTTCTCCCCTTATTGATCCTCATCACACTCGCTTGCCTGTTCTTGCTGCAGATGGCTCAGCGGAAGATCCGAGACATCCTGGCCCAAGTTAAGCAACAGCACCAGAAGGGACAGAGCAACCAAGCCCAAGCACGGAGGAAGTGACCAGCGCCTTCCAATCCCGTTTGCTTCAGGATGCCGGGCAGAACTGGGGAGTGCACTCTCCCGGCAGGCCTGAGAATGAGTGGGAATCAGGGACCTCGGGGCTGGGCTGGAGATCAGGTTTGCCCACTTGCTTGAAAAGGATGTTCTGTGGAGGAATCCTGATCTCTCCGTCCCAAACCCCTGACTGACCAGCCCAGCCAGGCCCACCACACCTTGGGGTGTCACCATTCAAATTCTAGCTCAGGGTGCTTTTAAACGTGGATTGTTTAAGGAAGTTCTACAAATCCCACCAAGAGGATGGTTCAGTCTCCAGTGGGGAAGAGAAATAAAGTTTCCTGCAGGTTTATAAAAACCTCAAAGGATGGTTTGTTTCTTGACCCAAAAATCTTTCTTTCTTTCCCCTTCTTGGTTAATTGATTAAAATATACTTCCATTCTCATGCCCTTACACCACCTCTTCCTATAGTTACACTGTTTTAACTACTACCAGGAAAATGGGAACTAATGCATTACTTTGTATTGACTGTAGAGAAGACACATCTTCATCTGTAGCTTGATTCCAAACCCTCCCTAACCAACCAATAGGGAACAGCAAAGAATTAAAGAAGGGGTAGGGGCAGGGAAAGAGATTATTAAAAACATAGTAATCCACGTTTAAAAGGAAGTACCCTTGGGCTGGGGATGCAGCTCAATGGTAGAGCAGTTGCCTAGCCTGTGTAGTTCCATCCCCGGTACCATAATGAAAGGAAAAAAAAGAAAAATTCTCTTGTGACTGGTCTATTCCAGATCACCATCTTAAAAATTTGGCACAATTGAAATTCCCCCTCAGGCTGTTGGGCCTCCCCCACATTTACATCCTCCAAACCCTATGGGTCCCCCATCATGTCCAGGTGCACATGGGTGGCACTGAACACTCAGCAGGGTAGCGCCTTACCACTGTCCCTGATTCCCATCACTCTCAGGCGGATTTTTATATATTTTTTTAAAGTCTATTTTAATGATTGGATATGAGCACTGGGAAGGGGACATGAACTCCCCTTGATAAAGTCTCAGTTTCATGGAGGACTTGAGTGGCCCAAAGGTGCCCTCACCCCAGCCTATGTGCTCCCATAAGGGCTGGTTCCCAGAGGCAAGGGTTGTGGGACACTGCCCACCACAGCACTCTTTCCTTAGTGATGGTGGTGGGACTTGGAACCCAACCTTGAGCTCCCGATAAAAGTTAAAGTCCATCATCTGGTAAAATCAGGAAATTGGAGATTATTTGCTTCTGTTTTATTCTAGAGGAGTATTTAACTGACGGCTTCTGACTCCATGAATTATTATGATGAAAGGTGTGCCTAAAAACAAAATTCAGAATACCAGCAGCATAATTTACAAAAGGGATAAATAAGCATAATTTATTAATTTACCAGGCTCAAAAAGATCCCGTTGGAAGTTTAGCCCTTTTGGAGAACAGCAGCCATCAGTTGAATGAGGTTAGGCCTCCCCTCGAAATACTATATTGATTGTCAGTTCAGATTAGCCAGGTGATGCACTTTAGCTACCCTGGACAATACTATCAAGTGTGCTGGGAAGGAAGGAAGGCCTCTCTGCATGTGGAGAATTCCGTGCACGGAGTTTCCCTCCTTCCGACATTGCAACAACAGTGACAACAGGACAACCATGACGCGTGGGTGGAGTCAGGCAATGCCGTGTGCGAAGTAAACTACCTCAAGGTATGAAGTTACCTCAGCAATTATTTTCCTTTTTGTTCCCCTGAACCCCATTTTTTAATTATTTTTTTGATTTTTTTTCTTTGCGGCTTGCTGATATTTTATATAAAAAAGAAAAGCAAAGCAAAAGAGAAGCTGATAGTCTTGAATATTTTATTTTTTTAATGAAAGAGAAAAATGAGAAAGTTATGTTTCATAATTTCTTACAACATGAGCCAGTAACCTTTAGCAACTCCCTATGGAGAACAGGCCCTGTGGGAAAGGCGGCAGGGACTGGACCCTTGGTAGGAGGCTGGGAGTGGAGACGGAAGGGCCCTGGTTGGACAGCCCCAAGGAGCAGAGTCCAGAGCCTTGCCCAGCTCTGATCTCTGACTTGGGATCCCCTGCTGAAATATCCTGCCTGACAGGATTCAAAGGCCTCGAAGAGCCCTGGGTCCCTTGGGGCAAAACAGCAGTTTCCACCTACCTGCAAGCCTTTGGGCTCCTCTCTTCCTGCCTTCGGTTAGACAGCCTCCCAGCCGGTTTTCCCACCTGTGGTACTGTTGTGATATTTTAAAATATTGCCTCCGTTTTATCGAGGAGAGAAAAATAACTTAAAAAAAAAAGAAAAAAAAAAGAGAAAAAGATTAAAAAAACGAAAAAAAAAACCCTTTTAAAAAAATCTATATTTCTCTGTCTAAAAATATGGGAGCCAAGATTCCGTTCATGGGAGAAAGACAAGGCCACCCTCTCACCCTCAGAGAGGTCCACCTGGTTTGTCATATACAATTTTTTTTTAATTTTTTTTTTTTTGATTGTTGATTCATTTCCATCCCAACTTGCTATTCTTCTTAGAGTATGTTCATAGACCAAGGGGCAAACAGATCCTCAGATGGCTATCCCACCCCCACTCCCTATCTTTAGATTGATCTGATTGATTCAAAAAGTGGACCCATATACTTAGGGAATACTTGATTTAGGGTGGTGGGTAGCCAAGAGAGACAGGGGAAACGGACACAGGTGATTGGAACAATTTTCTGCCTTGCTAAGGTCTGATCACTTTGTCAACATGAAATCCTTTCATAGCCCCCAGAACTCTAGGCCCAAAGAAGAGAAGCAAGAAAGCATTTAGGGATGAGATCAGGATTACAGAATTAAGCCTCCCACCTGTCCCAACCACAAAAAGGGTCTCCCAGCTTTCCATCTCTGGCTCTGTATTCTTTGTCCCCAAATGAAGCAGATAAGATTCAGACTTCGGCCATTTAGTGATTTAAAGCTGATTTCTAGCAGCAAGCATGCTTTGATATCTGGTTCAAATGATCATCAGGAAAAAGAAAAAATCCCACAGTACCTGAAATGTGATTGTTGCAGTGTTCAGTTCCTTGGGGGGGCCTGCTCCCTTCATACCTTGGAAGTTCGAGTCCTTTTCCTTTGGCTTGGCTGGTTGAGCTCCCAGAAGAGACCAGGAAGTGTGGCAGGGGACCAGAAAACTTACTTGGATTAGGCAAGCCTCCACTCATCGCTGATGTTTGCCCAGCAGGAAAATTGTGGAAGTTAGGCTACCAGAAAGCAAAAGGAATTTGGCTAGGGGGTTGAGGTTTCGCTGGAGGCAGCATCTTGGCGTGCCCTTCTGTGACCTGAAGATCAGGTCTTAGGGCACCTCCTTTCCCCCAATCCTTGGGAAGACAACAAGCTATCCTGAGAAGCACTCGGGATATCTGGATGGTTTTGAGAAAAAGCGACTTTTTAAAAAGACGTTTCTGTGCTCTAACTTGTGTGTGCGCAACATGTATATTTTTATGAAAGGACCATCTCTTTAGGATATATTTTTTAAATTCTTTGAAAAACATAGAAAACCAAAATGGTTTGATTCACTGACTTAACTTTGAAGCTGCATCTGCCAGTTACATGCTGATGGCTTTAATCCCCTCTAGGGTCCCGTTGCCTTTTGTAGTTTGGGTTGTGAACTTGGCTCCTAGGAGGGGTCTGGGTAGGAGAGAGCCATTCTTTGGGACAGGGAGTTATAGCCCCCGTTTACTATTTGCTCCCCTCCTCCCAGTCCTTCTCCATGTTTTTCTTTTTTTCCCTTTTTTCCTGAGCTCCACGCTTCTGGGGGGAAGTTGGGAGCCATTCTCTTATTTATGCCTTGCTGTTGGCAGAAAAGACCACACAGGTGAAACCCAGAGGACGCTGGAGCGTGGGGGCTCCAGTTGGTTCTATGTCCATTTTCCTCTGTGCCAAAGACAGACAGACAGGCTGAGAGAGGCCATTTCTGAATCAAAGCAGTAGCCATCTTTCGACATCTCCCCGTGCTGTCTGAGGGGGAGGGGCCTGGAAACTGTGTGAGCTAAAGACAGAGTCCCCTCCCTTCTGAGGGGACTTGGGAGTGGTGCTTGCCAAGGGGTAGGGAGCTGAGAAAGGGGGTTCTTTGGCTCCTGGTTGCACTTTGGGGAAAAGGGATGTTTAGGGCTCCTGTTTGTGGGACTGCTCTCGTCCCCTGTCCCCACTGCAGAGATAGCACCGTGGAGTTCCCGTCAGGCCTGGCAGACTGGCAGTGAGGAGGGGCCTCAGTTAGCTCTCCAGGGTGCCTTCCCCTCCTCCCACCCCAGACATAAAATAACCTGCCAATCTGGGAACCAGCAGTGCTACAAACTACCTCACCGAGCCCAGAGGGAGCTGAGGAAGCCAGCACCTCTAGGCCACCCTTCCTGCCACCTCTCGGGGCGGGGTCTCCCCCTTTCTTTCCCCTGAAGTGTTCGCGGGGAGATCCTCCTGGCTCTGCCATTCAAACCATGCGACTGTTTTGCCTGTTGAAAACTAATAGAAGGAAAAACCGCACAGCCTGACACATGATTGCAGGAAGATTGAAGAAAAGAAAAAAAAAAATCCTCACTGATGCCAGGGGACGTAAAAAGCCATTTCTCTTCCAAATACTCGATGGTTTAGATGCAGAATGTTCCTTATATTCAGACGTAGAGTTAACACCAGCTGAAACTTCCGTTTCTTTCCTTTGGACACTGACTCAGTGGGGGTACAGGGCAGAGAAAAGGCCTCATGGCCTGAGATGGGTTGAGGGGTGGGCAACAGCCCCAGCCCTGAATCTCGCCCTGTGGACCTCCTTGGGTCACAGTGTGATGGCACCAGTACTGGTGTCTTAGTATGGTTGAATCCGGACTGACAAGACAAAAGAAAGAATTTTTTTTTTCCTTAAGTGAAATAGCAGGAAGCTCTTCGTGAGCGTGTTCTGAGTGATCACAGGTGATGAATGCTACGAGTATAAATGGATTAACTACCTCAATCCTTTACAGTAAGATTGGAACTAAGGGCAGGGACTCGTGCATGAGGGTATGAGTCCCAGCCCAAGTGAGTTGAGGCTTGTGCCACAAAGTTGGTCTTGGGGGTCAGGCAGGCCTGCCAGCATCCCCACTCATTGGTCGGGTTGGCAGGGCTGGCCATTAGGTCCCCGCTTTCTG